TGTTTCGTTGTCAAGCTTCTCAAAATCTTCAGCTTTCCTTTGCTCGCTTGGATTTAGCTTGCTTCTTGTAAGTTACAGGTAAGTTAAAGAGTAGCCTAATTACTTTTTGGCATCTGTGATTCTTGCCAGGAAATGGCGTCTTTGAGTAGTCGACAATTGAGATTTACTTTTGAGTGTACTATAACTTGTGCTGAACTAGCAGAAGATGTGTGTTACGTTATAAATCACTTGGTCCAAATCTCACATTAAGATAAACTGTAAACTTGTAAAGACAGATTCCATATAAGTTTATCTTTTTTATCTTGACATTCATGATTCACCATAAGATTTGTACGTGGGAAAATGAGTTACCAAAACAGTATTTGCTATATATTTTATGCTCAAACTGCCATCTTATAAATTAAGCAATATCTTGATTACATTACAAAACCAATTTCTTATTGAGGTATTTCCAGAGGTTCTCTGGGATTTGGTGAGGAAGCATTGCAATCTCTTCCAGGGAGAGTGGGTACGCAGGTGCTTTTCGTCCAAAGTTCTTTACGACAGCCCATTGCTGTTCTCTCCAATCATATTTTTATCCATAATGATAATCATTCTTTTAAGTTCCTTTCAATTGTTTCACATCCACAGGATGTTAATGATGTACTTGCAGCCGTAGACCATGTCATTGATATGGGACTTGCCGATCCATCCAAAATTGCTGCTGTTGGCATTTCCCATGGAGGATTTTTGACGACACACTTGATAGGACAGGTTGAATAGTTCCACAAATTACCTGTTTTTACTACACCTAAATCCACTTCTACTAAATGTTTGCGCGTGGCCATTAGACCAAACGTTCTGATACTTCGTTTATACGGTGATATGAAAAGTTAAAACTATTCTATTCTTACTCATGCATTCGTATGCAGGCACCGGACAAGTTTGCTGCTGCAGCTGCTAGGAACCCAGTGTGCAACCTTGGGCTAATGGTTGGTACAACTGATATACCTGATTGGTGTTATTTTGAGGCATTTGGAAGTGAAGCAAAATCAACCTTTACAGCAGCACCTTCAGCTGAACATCTTGCTCTATTCTACGACAAGTCCCCCATTTCACATGTATCCAAGGTATATATGCTTCATCAGCTGGTTGTTTTTTGTTGAAAAGAAATAAAACTTTTATAACCTAGTATAATTTTTCTCATACTATCAATGTATTTTAACATGTCGTAGTAGGGTAACCTGCGTTGCTTTTAGGTTACTAATGATCTCTCTTTTGATGGACGGTTAACTATAGTTAATCTGTTAGGCAATTTTAGGTGATCTGATAGTGACCGTCAAGATAAAGAAGTTAAATTCTTATTGAAGAAAGGCTACCAGGTTTTATTGGACAGGAGCGTAGAACTTGGCAACTGAAACGCAAAGATTATAGTCATCATTTCACATCTGTTCTTTCTACTTCTCATTGACATCCAAACAAAAAGAAACTGGAAATGGGTGGGGAAAAAATTACAGTTAATTCCTTTTAGACATACAATTTGCTGGTGCATATTGGAATTTACATGGCACTAGATTGTTTTATCGATGCTCCTATACTAACATGGAGGTAATCTTGCAGGTCAAAGCTCCCACGCTCATGCTATTAGGTGCTCAGGACCTTCGCGTCCCCATTACTGATGGATTACAAGTATGTACATTTCTTTTTTTTGGGACATAAAATCGTAATAACAATGGAAATCATCGCTTCCTTGGCTCCTTTTTGTCGCTTGAGTTCTCCAATTTTATCCGAGTCTAACAAGAAAGAATCCATTCTCCTATTAATTGGGACTCTGAATAAAAAAATCATTCAGCTCATTTGACCATCTTGTGACAATGAAGTTAAGTTTTCGTACAAATATGAACACTTCCTACAGTGCTATCGCGCTCTCTTCCATTCTGATGGAGAAACTTTAGTCCGTCTTGCCTGCAAGTTTGGTGTTTGATAAAACATTGTGTCTCAGTAAACATGTTTTGTTCTTCTGTGTCTGATGCAGTATGCGCGAGCATTAAAGGAGAACGGAGCAGAAGTTAAGGTGATGATGTTTCCTGATGACATACACGAGCTCGATAGGTAATTGTGTTCCTTCCCCCTAAATTTGAGCACTAGTTTTCTTCCCTCACCTGAGATGATCAATAACCGTTTTCCACTTATCCATCAGTGTAATTAAATTTCATGTTATGCTATGTAGTGAGATCTAATGCCATGTGTTTACTTTTTTGGCAGACCAAGAACAGACTTTGAAAGTTTTCTTAACATTGGAGTGTGGTTTGAGAAGTACTGCTCATAGATTGCCACATTAATCAGTGTTTCTGCAACAAGAATAAAGGACAGCCCAGTGCACACGGCATATTGCGTTCACGCAGGATGCCCTTTACCGTAATGTAGACAGACTACCCTAGTGAACGCAAGATGCCTTTTACCGTAATGTAGACAGACTACCCTAATGCAAGCATTAATTGTTGCTTATATGGCTCGAACGCATGACCTATAGGTCACACGGAGATAACTTTACCGTTGCTCCCCGCTCTCCTTCCTTTCTGCAACAAAAATGTTTAGAGATTCACGGCCTGCTCTTCCAAGAAAATGAAGGTCATAATTGACTCAAATTCATCATGATCATACTACTATACTAATAAATTGCTTGTAATTCTCTATATAGCACTTGAAAATATGTCTCTTATTAATCAAATGCATAGTGCACTTTTTCAGGGATAAGTGCTCCTTTTTGCACAAACCATGAAGTATTTAAAATTCCTTTTTTCCCCTTTTTGCTTATGGCCATTAAATTTTTCCCGAAATTCCAGCAGTAACAAAAATTGGAGACTGAAATTATATACTCCTTCCTCCGTCTCAAATTATCGGTCATAATTTTTAAAAAATAGTTGTCTTAATTATTTTTTTTCATTACCCTTAATAGTAATTGTTCTTGAAGACGGAGATAGCACATAAATAGAATAAATATTCAACGAGGAGAAATTATATTTTAAGACATAAACAAGGGTGAAGTAGTCCAAAACTCCTAATTAATATTTTTTTAAGGGGCGTGTAAAAGAGAAACACGACAAATAATTTGAGACGGATGGAGTAGTAGATAGATATCGAAAGGGTCTTCTTCGGAAAAAGAAAAGAGCGATTGAATAAATATTTCCTTTATTGTAATTCGTACGACACATCTAAGGATGCGTACTCACTACCCTCCTAGACCCCGCGTATGGGATTAAGCTAGGTTTGTTGTTGTATCTATGTTGGAACGTAATCAAATTGTTGAAACTACTTTACAGATAATATTTTTCCACGACTTTTAATTATTTTGAGAGTTCAAATTCATTTAACTATTCAAAATTTAAGCATTGTGGTGATTCTTTTTCTTCGAATACTACTAAAAGAATATACTTCCTATAAGGAATAAAAAGAATCTAGTGTGTAATCAGAGAGGCATGTTTCCGGTAGAACTTAGGCTCAAAAAAGATACAAAAGTAAAGCGGATAAAAAAGCTCAGGAAAGGTAAAAGCAAAAAATAACAATAAGCAGTAATACCAGCAAAACAATCAGAAAACCAAAGTATAAGAATTGTAATAACAAAAATTTGAGAACAAGAAATACGAGACTATTACTAAATAGTGCACTACAACTACTGGTACAAAGAAGACGATCGGCTACCTAATCTCCTGCCCTAATTCTCGACCTCAACATCTTTCTATCAAGGGTCATGTCCTCGGTGAGCTGGAGCATCGCCATGTCTTGCCTAATCACCTTTCCCCAGTACTTCTTCGGTCTATCCCTACCTCTCCTTAGGCCCTCCACGATCAACCTCCCACACATCCTTACTGAGGCATCATCGCCTCTTCTCTTCATATGTCTTAACCATCTAAGTATCGTTTTTCGCATCTTGTCCTCCACCGAAGTCACTCCCATCTTGTCTCAAATAACTTCATTCCTAATCTTATCCAGCCTAGTATGTCCGCACGTCTATTTCAACATTCTCATTTCTGTCACCTTCATCTTCTGGACATGGGAGTTCTTGATTGGCCATCACTCAGCCCCATACAACATAATCGGTCTGATCACCGCTCTGTAAAACTTACCTTTAAGTTTTGATGGCACATTCATATCACACAAAACACCAGAAGCGAGCCTCCATTTTATCCAATCCCCCCCGCGATACGATGTGTGAATTCCTCGTTAATCTCCCGATTCTCCTGTATAACTGACCCAAGGTACTTGCAATTGTCTCTCCTAGGAATAACTTGTGAATCCAACCTCACATCCCCGTCCACTTCCTGATCCACACCACTGAACTTGCACTCAAAGTATTTTGTCTTGGTCCTGCTCAACTTGAAATCTTTAGACTCTAGAGTCTGCCTCCAAACCTCTAGTCTTGCGTTAACACCACCTCGCATTTCATCAACTACAACAATGTCATATGTGAATAACATGCACCGCAACATCTTCCCTAAAATGTGGCGTGACGCACCATCATATAAATGTAATATATTTCTATCAAATTAATTCCTTAAATATCTGATATTTTTTTCTTTCAAAACTACAGATACATTCTCTCTATTTTATTTTAGACACTTTTATAATTTGAAGGGTTAACAAATTTTTCCTTTGACTCGATTTTCAAGAAAAAAAATGAATTTTAAAATTTGTGCTTTATACCCATTCTTTATCTTAAAAATTTAACGTTCTTCAGACTATTTTATTCATTTAGGTATTTTTCAAAAGAATTGAGTAATATATAAGTCAAATTCAAAGAAAATCCACATAAACCCAAGACAAAGTTTGACTACCAAAACCAATTAAAACCCGCCGTCTGTGGGGATCGAACCCACGACCACGTGGTTAAAAGCCACGCGCTCTACCACTGAGCTAAGACGGCTTTGTGGTAGTACACACTTACATTTTTAAATCTATATAATAATAATTCTCCAGTCTCAATTTTTTTCTTGCTTAGCCATTATGTTCATCTTCTTTCGTTCACTTTCTTAACACCAATTCATTCTGAAGTTCCTAATGTGCTGCATATCTTAAAACTTTTACTGAAATTTTACATGTAATCAACTGACAGGTTGAAGAAATGTTCGTGAAGTTACAGTATGTTGATACCAGCAATTGCTTCCACATACTAAACTCAACTAAATCCACTCCAAATATAGGAATTTCAATCCCAACCACCAAGAAATACAAGGAGCAGAACCAATTGCATGACCCAAATGGTAGACTTGAGAAAAGCAAGAATCTTGGGGTCAAATTCAGGCCTGGAGTTGGCTATGACAGTGATGTAAAAGAGAAGCTGGACTATCAAATTGCCAAAAACTCGCGTACTCATGTTTGGAAAAATGGCGTTTTGAAGACCCAAAATGGTTTCGTGAGGAAACCAGTTGATAAAACTGAGAGTGAGGAGAAAATTGGGGGTCAAGTGCAGACCGAGCGGTCGACGAAATGCGGCAATGACGTGAAAAGTGGCCAAGACTCACCTACCCATGTTGTGAAAGATAGTGTTTTGAAGACCCAAAATGATTTTTTGAGGAAACCAGTTGAAAGCATTGAGAATGAGAAAAAATTGGGTGGTCAGTTGAGCTCGGGGAATATGGTGGAGAAAGTGCAGATTAAGTGTTCGACAAAATGGGCAAGATATGGAGGATGCATTCCTGTTATGCTGGAAGCTTTGGAGACAGTTAGTGATTTGGATGAGGCATTGAAGCCATGGGAAAAGAGTTTGACTAAAAAAGAAAGGACTATTATATTGAAGGAACAGGTGGAGTGGCAACGAGCAATGGAGATTTTTGAGTGGTTTAAGAGAAGAGGATGCCATGAATTGAATGTTATACATTACAATATTATGCTTAGGATTCTCGGGAAAGCACGGAGGTGGGGCGAGATCGAGAGGTTGTGGAGTGAAATGAGGGCAAAGAGAGTTGAGCCAATAAATTCAACTTATGGGACTCTGATCGATGTCTACAGCAAGGGTGGGCGTAGGGAGCAGGCAATGAAGTGGTTGAAGTTGATGAATGAACGAGGTATGGTACCGGATGAGGTGACAATGGGAATTGTCGTTCAGATGTATAAAATGGCGGGGGAGTTTAAGATGGCAGAAGAATTTTTAAAAAAGTGGTCTTTATGCAAATGTCTGGTGGAGGAACGCGTAAATGGTGCCACAAGAAGTGGTAATAGGGTCAATGGTTCTTCTGGTTCAAGTGTTTGTTTGAGCTCGCATACCTATAACAATTTAATTGACACTTATGGGAAGGCAGGGCAAGTGAAAGAAGCATATGAGACTTTTCATGAGATGTTGAGGGAAGGAATCCTGCCAACGACAGTTACTTTCAATACAATGATACACATGTGTGGTAATAATGGCCGAATGGAAGAAGTTGCTTCCTTGATGAGGAAGATGGAGGAGCTTCAATGCCATCCTGATACAAGAACATATAATATTCTTATTTCCCTTCATGCCAAGCACGACAACATAGGAATGGCTGCCACCTACTTTAAACTTATGAATGGTGCTTCTCTAGAGCCCGATTCCGTGACTTATCGCACTCTTTTATATGCATTTTCTATAAGGAATATGGTAAATGATGCAGAGAAGCTCATTTTGGAGATGGATAAGAAAGATCTAGAGATTGACGAATTCACTCAGTCAGCTTTGACTAGGATGTATCTAGAAGCTGGGATGGTAGAGAAGTCTTGGTCCTGGTTCCAAAGGTTTCATCTTGCTGGAAAAATGGCTTCTGAATGCTACTCCGCCAACATTGATGCCTTTGGCGAACGTGGCCATATTTTGGAAGCTGAGAGAGTTTTTAACTGCTGTAAGGAGGGAAAAAGACTTACTGTCCTTGAGTTAAATGTAATGATCAAAGCATATGGAATTAGCAAGAAATACGATGAGGCGTGTTATTTGTTTGATAGCATGGAGAAACATGGCTTATTTCCTGATAGATGCAGCTTTAGTTCGCTCATTCAAATGCTTGCTGCTGCAGATTTGCCACTGAGAGCAGCATTTTACGTGAGGAAAATGCAGGAGGCGGGATTAGTTGATGATTGCATCCCTTATTGTGCTGTGATATCTAGTTTTACTAAAGTAGGTCAGCTGGAAATGGCAGTAAGATTATTCGACGAAATGATTGCATTTGATGTCAAGCCTGATGTTGTTGTTTATGGTGTACTGATAAATGCCTTTGCTGACATAGGAGGTGTTAAAGAAGCTACAAAATACTTGATTGAAATGAGAAACTCTGGTTTAGAGACAAATGTTGTTATATATACTTCTTTGATTAAGCTATACACCAAAGTCGGGTATTTGAGAGAAGCCGAAGAAACATACAAAATGCTTCAGTCGTTTGAGGCAGGGGCTGATGTATATTCTTCGAATTGCATGATTGACTTGTACAGCGAGCGCTCTATGGTTAGACAAGCAGAAGAGATTTTTGAGCACCTAAAGAGAAAGGGAAATGCAAATGAGTTTTCTTATGCGATGATGCTGTGTATGTACAAGAGAAACGGAATGTTTAAGGAAGCCATTCAAATTGCCCGGAAAATGAGAGAACTCGGACTTCTGACTGACTTGTTGAGTTGCAACAATGTGCTTGGATTGTATGCAACTGATGGGAGGTTTAAAGAAGCTTTGGCGACTTACAACGATATGCTTTCTTCTGCCATCCAACCTGATGATTCAACATTCAAGTCACTTGGAATTATTCTTCTTAAATGTGGTGTTCCAAAGGAGGCTGTTGGAAAGCTGGAATTTATTAGGAAAAAGGATCCTCAGAGTGGCATGCAAAAGTGGAGTTCAACGTTATCTTCTGTTATCGGTGTGCTTGATACTGACAGTCCTGATAGAGAAGATGCCTAGCTCTTCCTATAGATACTAGTATACCATGTAACTTCAATTTTCAATGCTTATTTAATAGTTGCATTGAAAAGATGGATTGCTACTTCTGTCTTGTCCATTTTGAAACTCAACTTAGAAACAGATTACAGTTCGACTTACACTGAAATTGTGAATCAGTGACCTGAGGTTGAGTTTCTGTCTAGTTCTCATCTTATTTAACTTTGGCGTTTTAAATCATCTTTTCTCGATTGTCATTGCTTTTGATGTTTAATTTGTAAAAGACTGGAAGTAAACATAATTTATTTATTGAATTCATGTCAGACTACATAGAACTAAGGACTATTTCCTGGTATTTTTCAAGAGCAATCAATCAACTATCAGTTGACTGCACCTCAATCCCCTATGTCCCCTTGAACTACATAAGAAATCCTTCTTCCTGTGACATAAAGGAGCAATTGTAGTAATTTCTTGAGGGTGATCCCATTTTTACCTACTATAACTACAACAAAATCTGTTCCCAGGAACATTTTTAAAATGTTATGTTAATTATAAACACCAATAAAAGGGGTGCAGCTGATTACTCTGCGAAAGCAGTGTTAGTCAACTAATGATAATAACTCTAACTGGTCTTTACTCAATGAGACATATGGCTTTATAGAATGGGATTCTAGTTCTTGGGGTCATCATCTGTCTTCATTTAGTTTTCTAGATTTAACAGTTATATGAAGTTTTTGCAATTTTACAGGTTGCTTCTCTTGGAGAGGGACTATCATTTGAAGCCCATTTATTAAGCAGGTACAATTTGTAGTGTTTTCTCCCCTTTCATATTTCTGCTTAACAAAACATTGTCTGATGGTATGCATATTATTGCATATTGTCTACAGGAAGCAAGAAGCAGTTCGCGAGAGAGAGTTAGCTTGAAGAACTGTGAATACAAGTGGTAAAGACAAATATTGTTATTAACTATGTCACTGATGCGTCAAAGACTGTTGCTTGTCAAACTTATTAATACTAATGGTATGCATCAAAAACTTAACAAACACTATCTGATGTTATGTTAGTGGTTCAATTCTTGACACTAATTTGAACCTGCTTTGAGAATAGGGAGCTGCCTTTGAGTGATGTGAACTTAATGGAAGCTTACAGGACTTTAGTTGAGAATTGTTAGTTGCTGAAGTCTGTTAGGTAATTAATACTCAGTTCTTCAGCAGTTTGTGCCAAAATTTGACTGGTTTGGAGTGCTACTGCCTGAGAAACAAAAGATTGTGCAAAATTACGACTAGTGTTAATCAACGTCTAACTCTTTTTCAGCAAAAGATTTACCATAACTCTATTGTTGCCTAGTCCTTCTAAAATTTACTACTCCCTCCGTTCCAGTTTATGTGAACCTATTTCCTTTTTGGTCCGTTCCAAAAAGAATGATCCTTTTCTAAATTTGGAAACAATTTAGCTTAAACTTACAATTCTACCCTTACTGAGAAAGTTTTTATAACCACACAAATACTCTCGGCCTTTTTTGACTTGTTTAGGACCACAAATTCCAAAAGTTCTCATTTTTTTCTTAAACTCCGTGCCCAGTCAAGCAGGTTCACATAATTTGGAACAGAGTGTTTACTATAACTTTGTTGTCGCCTGGCCTTCAAAAAATCCACTAAACAATGATCAACAGGTTAAGCATTTCCTTTTGACATATTGACATGGCATTATTAAATTGGGATAGGATTATCATCATAAGATGAGCATATCAGAGTATATCCAAATCCCTTTTTCAGGTCATTACTTTTTTTCACTAACAGGAAAACTACATTACATTATGTGCTAGTGGAGATACTTTTAGATGCTATTTTGTAAGTGGTTTTAGCCTGTCTAGCATGTGTAGATATTTTCTTTGCCAGATCTATACGTTTATTTATTGAGTGCATCTTTCTATATTGTTCTTTACTGCAGTAGTATAATGTCTTTGAAATAGCACCTTGTTGATTAAGCTGCTGGATCCAACAACTAGCTCAACAGCTGCTAGTATTTGTTGTGTGGTGAAATGGAGATCTATGCTTTTCTGCACTGTACAAGATTTTATACTCGGTATAATCCCGAGAACTTGTTTATTATGTTTTCAGCAAATTAGGCTTGGTTGAAACTTTAGTTGACGAAAACTTACCACTATTATATTATATTTATGTATGTCAGATATTTGGTTCTTGGTTTTTCATTGAATCTACCTTATTGGGACCTCTGCTTTAAAAGGCGTTTTTGGGGCGAGCCCTGGGGCGAGGCGTACCGAAAACGTCCCGGGGCGATGGCGTGGGGCGAAAGTCTCAAGAGGCGTACGCCCGGGCGTTCGGGGCGCGTTTTTTTAGTAAGGATAAGCCCTAGAGATTTTTTCAAATTAAAATAAAATTTGTTGAATTAGTCCTTCATATAATACCCAAATTCTCAAAAGTCAGTTTGATAATTACTCAAAAGGTTTAAAAAGGAACTCAAAAGTATTAAATTTAAAAGTAAAAACCTTTTTTTATTGATTTAAGCCATAATTCATGGTTTTCCCAATTTTTTATCTTGTCCGCTAGTCTGCTAATATTTCCCAAAAGCAACGAATATTTAATTTTTTTACAAATACAAAGAGAACTACCTCCTACCTCCTTCTTCTTAGCAGCAAATTCAAAGTTCAAATTGCAGGTTAATCATCCTTTTTGTTCCTCCATATAAAAAACTTTATTCTTTGACTCAAATTACTTGTGCTTGTAAGTAACGTATAATAGATTATTTTGATTAGTTTTTTGTGGGGATGTAGCACACATATATATAGTTTTCTTCAATTTTTATGCAATTTTACCTATTTATAAATATTTACTGTCATTATATTATTTTATAAAATATTAAAAACTAAATACCTATGGGGCTTACGCCCCGTTGAGACATATGTAAAACGTCTCGCCTTACGCCCACGCCTTTTAAAACACTGATTGAGACTACTTTTTTTTG